CCATCCTTGGTGAATGGCTAAAGTATAGTAGCGAAATAGTATACAAGGTAGAAGTATACTTGTCGGTGCTTCGTGGCACAGCAAGCAGTGATCAGTGCCGAGATTTCTGAGCCATTATGTACAGTACGTTTAAAGGGGCACTATCATGGCGAGTTTGCTGCATTGTGCTAAAATTAGGACTAAGTACCTTAGCTCGTACATGAAATGGTTGTACAACACCATGATGAAGACATGAATTGTTAAAGGACCTACGTCACGGTTTGCGCATATTGAAAAGTTTAGTCTCAATTTTTCAAATTCGTTGATTGTAATCCGTGTTAATCTTCTCCATCCTTAGCCATCCTTGTTCCTTTATGGTTTATCATTATTTCTTTGGTGTTTTTCTATCTTATTAAACTGTTATTTTCAGGTTTCCTACCATGTAAAGATAATTTTGTGTGTGGCCAAAATAACTCAAAATACCGTGACTGAACCCCGTTAAAAGGGGGACAATTTTCTGTTAGTTTTTAGTTTCTAACGATTTTTCTTCCAAACGACCGCAAAATTTGAAGACGTCTGCCAGACTTTCTCAGTTTGAACCCTCTATAGCGGTCATTTCATTTCATCAGTCCACGTAGTGATTTTTTCATAGAACTTGACCATTGTTTTAAGGCTTTCATGCTCTTGCTTAGTACGCCTATGCTTATTTTTTTAACTTATTCAGTCCAGACTCTCCTCTTCACTACAAGCAACCTCTCGGTAAATAAGTATGGATTTATTTAACCAATAAAGAAGCCTACGTCTCGTGTTTTCCCCTACACTTCTTTCGTGTTCTACCGCTCCCTGCGTGCTTTACAACCGAATAGAGCACAGTCGAGGCTTCTTTATTTGTTAAATAAAACACGAGGGAAATGTAGAAAACGCGAGCCGCAGGCTTGTGTTTTCTACATTTCTCGAGTGTTCTCAAATGTGCGGAGTGTTCTATCACAGTGTAATACATGGCTTAGGCTTCTTCATTTGCTTTTTGATAAAGATTTTACACGCGCAAAACAATTAGACACGCTTTTTCTGTTTTATACTCTGAGAAAACGTGGGTTTTTAACCAATCAGAGCGCGCGCAGGGACCTATCTATATTATAACACTAAATAAAGACTG